CATCGTCGACATGATGGGCATGATGTATTGGTGGAACATCTCCCTTAATGCTATTTCCTTGGTCAACCTGGTGATGGTGAGTGTTTACGGTTGACAAATTTATTGATAAATCTTGGAGTACAGTTTGCTGGTAGTGAATGGGATGGTGAGTGGTGGTGAGTGGGATGATGACTGGTGGTGAGAGGAATATAGTGACTGGTGATGAATGGGATGATGACTGGTGGTGAGTGGGATGGTGACTGGTGGTGAGTGGGACAGTGACTGGTGGTGAGTGGGACGGTGACTGGTGGTGAGTGGGATGATGAGTGATAGTGAGTGGGATGGTGACTGGTGGTGAGTGAGATGGTAACTGGTGGTTGAATATGATGGTGATTGGGGGGTGAGTGGGATTGTGATTGATAGTGAGTGGTGATGAGTGGGATGATGACTGGTGGTGAATGGGATGGTGATTGCTGGTGAGTGAGATGGTGACTGGTGGTGAGTGGGATGGTGACTGGTGGTGAGTGGAATTTTTTGCTGCGGACAGTAGTTAGTTTATTGTGCACCCCATACTCATCCTGTGAGCGGTAGCGCAAAAAGGTTTACAGAGTATAGGCCACAAAGGGTGTTTATCAGGCCCAGTGATTTTGATATTATGGCAATGAATGTTACAGAGTATTTCAAGTACTTTATTTTTATGGGATTAGCCCACCAGGGCACAGGGCAATGACCCACATCAGGGCCTATGGGCGAAAATATAATAATAATAATAATAATAATAATAATAATAATAATAATAATAATAATAATTAAAAACCTATAAATTATATTAAATTAAAATATAATATAATATAATAAAGGACAATGAATAAATACCCTCAAAAAATCAATAGTGAGAAACGATATATGTATGTTGTGCTGTCAACAGTAAGTGAAACAATCGAGACCCTGCAATTGTGTGTAAATGAGGCAGGAAGGCAGATCAGCAACCTGGCACTTGGTCACAATTTTTGTGATGCCATATGGCAGCAGGGTCCATTATTAGACAACACATTATGCTTCTAATATCTTCCCAGGCTGTAGTAGCTCCCTTTTTGATAGCTGCCTACATAGAATTTGGATTAATTACTAGATGCGAAGTGTGGATACAGCCTTAGTATATCAGCTATCTTGTCACCAGAGATAAAGTGTTGTACCGGGATGGTGAATAGTGGTGGGTGGGATGGTGAGTGGGAGTTGAATGGGATGGTGACGAGTAGGTTTGTGATTGGTGGGAAGTGGGATGATGACTAGTGGTTGAATGGGATGGTGACTGGTGGTTGAATGGGATGGTGACTGGTAGTTGAATGGGATGGTGACTGGTGGTTGAATGGGATGGTGACTGGTGGTTGAATGGGATGGTGACTGGTGGTTGAATGGGATGGTGACTGGTAGTTGAATGGGATGGTGACTGGTGGTTGAATGAGATGGTGACTGGTGGTTGAATTGGATGGTGACTGGTGGCGGTTGAGATGTTTTGTGGTGAGTGGGATGGTGAGTTGTGGTGAGTGGGATGATGATTGTTTGTGAGTGGGATGGTGACTGGTGGTGAGTGGGATAGTGACTGGTGATCTCACTCATAGGGACCATTATTAGGTTAGGTTATGTTATTATTACTAAGGCCAGCTTAATTCTCTGGATACACAAACATATGTAGCTATGTGTACTGTATGTGGTGCAGTGTGTACAGAACCATCCACTAGATGTAACATTTTCCACCCCCCCTCAGGCGGTGGGGATCTCGGTGGAGTTCTGCAGCCACGTGACGCACGCCTTCGCCACCTCCCTCAAGCCGTCAAAGATAGAGAGAGCACGAGAGGCTCTGGCTATTATGGGGTCCTCGGTAAGCCCACAGTCATACTTTCATGTCAAATAGAAGGGAATGTGAAATATCTCTCTCTCTCTCTCTCTCTCTCTCTCTCTCTCTCTCTCTCTCTCTCTCTCTCTCTTTCAGGAATTTCAACGATCAGCAACTCTGATTTTCCCCCGAGTCCCAAAAGTACAATAAGAAAGTTTTTTTTACTAAACTCTTAAATTGTCAAATGAATAGTGACTGGGAGACTTACAGTGTAGAATGCAGTCACAGTAGATTTTGTGTTGCACAGTCAACAAAGAAATTTTCTGCACCTTTATGGTGTTATACAATATGACACACCGGACCAAGAATTCTGAGCAACACTCATTTACGCAGGTAATTCCTGTTAATTATTTCTCTATTAACTAGTTATATGATATAAAAAATTCATTACACTGGTTGTACAATGCATCACACAACCAGAAATACCAACCTTACTAAATTAACATGGCCTCAGTCAGTGATCGTTGCAGAAGCCATTGTAGGGGTATCGAGATATTAATGTTGTCTAGCACTCAGGATGGAAGGAAACTCTAATGTGGTTTTCTTGTATAATATATAAGTTATATGAAGACAGTCTGGTACTGGAGATGCCGTGTGGTGGGGAGCTGCTCAGTAGAAGACGTTCGGTGAGTAGCGTGTTGAAGGAGGTAGATGTGCAGGAGCTTCGTTAGAGAAGATGTTGCCTGTTGCTGGCCTCCTGGTTGAATAAATGTTAACAGCTAGGAGCTTGCTGGAGGAGGTGTTGCTTGTTCAGGAAAATGGGCAGAATGAGAGTTGGTTGGTGAGGAAGCTCAGAGAAGGACAGCTGGTGGGTCGCCATGCTCGCTGGCGGGAGGGAGGACCGCCAGGCAGGCGAGGAGAATCGAAGGCAGCCAGGCAGTTGCGGAGGAGGAGGTGTTGCTTGTTCAAGAAGAATGGTCAGAATGAATTCTCAATGGAGAGACAGAGCTTATATACCCAGCAGCAGCCGCTATGAGTCATGTTGGGAAAACCAGAGAAGTCGCCGGTGAATAGTTTCGTTGCTAGGCAACGGCACGTTGGAATGTGATAGCAGGTGGTGGGCTGCTACGCAGTTTGTAGGGGAGACGTCCACTACACCATCAAACCAAGGGATGCAGAATTTTTTTTGCTGACTGTACATGAAACTTAACATAATAATTCAGGACATGTAAAGACTCAGGGTGTCAAGTGACAGCTTCGCTACCCAGTGGGTAGTTTTGTGTCTTTAGTGAAGTAGTCTTTATTCCATTGTTACGTTTAAATGATATTCTTAATAGTTCTTGAGTCTAAAATGACTTTATCATAAATGGGTCCTCTTGTGTTGACATGTGGTGTAGATCACCGTCCGAGGTCACTCCACCTATACTGCTCCTCACAGCTCCTCTTCTCTCTTTCTCTGTGTTTATAATCAGTCTGATATTTCCCATATATTTTGTGTATCTTATTCTCACCTTTTATATTATATGTGAGAGAAATTTCACAGAAACTCCATTACTCCTGGCAGATAACTTTGGTGTATGGTTCACTGTTTGTATTCGTCCTGGGGTCTTGTGGGTTAGCTATTTTTTATTTTATTTTTTTACTTTTTTATTTATTTTTTTTTTTTTTGCGGGGATTAGCCCAACCGGGCACAGGTCACTGACCCACATCGGGGCCTGGGGGGCGAAAATGTAATAATAATAATAATAATATTAATAATAATAATAATAATAATAATAATAATAATAATAATAATAATAATAATAATAATAATAATAATAATAATAATAATAATAATAATAATAATAATAATAATAATAATAATGATAATAATAATAATAATAATAATAATAATAATTTTTAGTAAATAAAATTTACAATACAAAATACAAAATTGAAAATAAAAAATTAAATAATAAGGATAATAATAATGACAACATTGTAATAATAATAATAATAATAATAATAATAATAATAATAATAATAATAATAATAATAATAATAATAATAATAATAATAATAATAATAATAATAATAATAATAATAATAATAATAATAATAATAATAATAATAATAATAATAAAGAACCACAAAGAAATTAAAAAAAATAAAAAGTGAGAAACAATATATATATGTTGTGTTGTCAATAGTAAAAGAAACAATTGAGACCCTGCAATTGTGTGTAAATGAGGCAGAAGTCAGATCAGCAACCTGGGACTTGGTCACACTTTTTGTCAGGGCTACCATTAGACAACACATTACAGTATGCTTCCAATATCTTTCCAGGCGGTAGTACCTCCTTGTTTGATAGCTGCCTACTACCTACTCCCTCACTTCTTATGAAATATGGATATAATATTAATAAAACAAAGAACAACGTATTGTAAAGTGTAACTAAACTCATATAAGTCAAATTTATTCACACTTCGGAAGCAATTTGACAAAGGGTAAGAGAAAAGAGATTCTAATTCATAACAATATTATAAAATTCTTTTGTCATTTACTGTATTGTAATAGACATTTCATACATTAATTTAATTTCAAGAATATATATATATATATATATATATATATATATATATATATATATATATATATATATATATATATATATATATATATATATATATATATATAATGAAGAGGAGAATCAGGGAAAACACAAAAATCTTGACTGAGTTGAGCTTCTTTTAATCGTTACCTTTTAGGAAATAATCATTTTCCTTCATCAGAGCCTAGAAAACAAAAGTTTTGAAAAAGTTTTAAAAATGTAGGTGATATACAATAAAAACATTATACAAAAATTTACCTTCAATAAAAATTAAAATGACGAGAGACCTACATACAAAGCTAAAATCAGGAATAAAAAGTGTGAAATAAAATATACAGGGGGGGGGGGGTATTACCTTAATTCAGACGAGCCTTAGTGCGAAAAACACAACAATTCACAGGAAGCCATATCACAAATGGATGGCTTTTCTTTACATTGGTGCAAGGCTTCCATAATGAGGAGGTCCGTCTCACAGTCGCTCTTGCCGAGAACTGAGAAATCGGACGGCGAGAACGGGTGGTCATGTTGGTGGGCATGGTTACGAATAGCTGAATGTGGTGGTTGTGTGATTAACTGGCCTGTTCGAACGGAACGGCCCAAGTGTTCATGGATGCGAGTTATCAAATGTCTTTTAGTTTTACCTATATATGCTGCCCTACAGCTAGCACACGTAAATTGATAAACAACTGAGGATTGCAGGTGTGTGGGTATGGTGTCTTTAATTGTAAAGACATTTTTAATTGAACTCTGGGTTTTAAAGATTAGTCTAAGAGAGATTTGTGGATAGAATTCATTGAAAAGCTTCTTAAGTCTATTTCTAAGGGTGAAACTGAGTGGGCCTGTATATATATATATATATATATATATATATATATATATATATATATATATATATATATATATATATATATATATATATATATATATATATATATATATATATATATATAAAATATAGGGTTTGTTATAACTTTTGGGTATCTTACCCTCCTCCACCTCTCTACACCTACCCAGGCTCGTGTCTTCTACTTATTATATTCTCCAGTCATAGTCTTGGGTGTCTGTTTCTGGCTACTTCCCCATCCTCTCTTCTGGCTCTGAAACGTCTTAATACTCTTTGCGTCGCCTCAGACCCTTTCATCATTTTCTCAGCTGTTTTCCTTTTTATTCCTTTTAGATTTAGACAATGTATTTTCCTTCTGCTAGTCTTCCAAGTTCATTCTTCGACCCCTCCCCCCGATACACACACACACACACACACACACACACACACACACACACACACACACACACACACACACACACAGACTCTTCCCTGACTTCCCTCCGTCCACTGCCACTCATCAACGCTCTCTCTCCACAGGTGTTGTCCGGCATCACCCTCACCAAGTTCGGGGGAATCATCGTACTGGGTTTTGCGCATTCGCAGATCTTCCGTGTGTTCTACTTCAGGATGTACTTGGGCATGGTGATCTTCGGTGCATACCACGGCCTCGTGTTCTTGCCCATTTTTCTCTCTCTGTGTGGTAAGTGATGGGTATGGAGTGGTATTGAAACAGGGGAAAGGGGCAAGAACAGAGAGAGAGAGAGAGAGAGAGGATGTAATTAATAATAAATTAATAATATGATTTACACGCACACACACACACACGTACACACACACACACACACACACACACACACACACACACACACACACACACACACACACACACACACACACACACACACTACTACTACTAAGGCCCCTAGCCTCCCCCAATAGCCACACCTTCGCCGCCATTTTATTCCCTTAAAATATCCTAATACATAAGTAGCTACCCTAGCTGTGTTGAGTTAGTTGAGCCGCAGATCTATGCGGCATTCAGTGACTGTTGCCTCGTAATCAATATCTGCTACCGTTGTCGGCTTTAGGGCCGAAGTTCTCGTTCGCCTGAGACAGAGCAATGCAGACCTAAGCAGAGAGAAAGACAGTCGACATCTCAACCAGGCTGTAACGTAGCTCCTGGGCTGCTGCTTCCGTTCAGATATCATCTCCACGAGTCTGGCAAAGAAACATTTTGCACTTGGTCCCATCCCACCAGAGGTGGCGAACACCGGAGGAGTGAAGCTGCCCTGATCTTGTCGTTCTCGTTCCTCCTGTGTGCAGCGTCAAGAGCTAGGTTACGGTGACATGCGGCCATGGGATCGAAAATCCTTATGTCAAAGAAGGCTCGCTGTCCCCGCGTCCAGAATCATAGGACACTGACGTCCACACGGGGTTCGTTGGATGTGTTTGAAGTCCTGTGAAGGAAATTCTCAACGTCCAATGGAAGGAGGGTCGGTTCTACCCTGACATCATGACAGATTTCCTTCAATAAATTTGCTGTGAGATCCCTTACTTCGTCAGGCCTCATGCATATGAAGCCCCCTTTCTTGCCCACCATGGCGTGGTCAATGTAATAAGATGAGCCACACACGCATTGGGAGGACAAACCTTCAACTGGCCTACCGTACCTTAGAGCAATGGCATCTGTGAATTCTTGTTTATTAAGACTGAATACTTTTTATCTTATCGGTAACGTTATTAGCCAGTTCGTGACGCCCACCTACTGCCCTGTATCTATTTTTTTTTCAATTTCTCTGGCACTTGCAGCACCAATTGCTGCAGTTTATCACTTTGGGTGTGCTGTCGTTCGGTAATAATGGACCGTCGAATCTTGTTTAATTTGTTGGTATCCATCTCGCTTGTTGCATTCGGGGCTACTTTGTGCTCAGTGAGGGCTGACGTGAGCTTGACTGAGTTCTGATGCTCGGCGGCAGCAAGCTCTTCTGGATTGGTCAATCCCATTCCTTCCAGTCTCGGTGGTAGTACAGAGGTTGACCTTTCTGTTGGGGTTAAGTGAAGGTTTTTCACTGATTTTGGAATAAAATTGACGCTGATGGCTTCTTCCAGAGGGTGGAGGAGGGGTCCGATATCAGGGATAGTGCGCATCGGGTAATTCCAACGATGCTTGACTCCATGGGTGAATTCCGCAAAAGCCGATTGTGGCTTTGTTTTAGCAATATCAGACAGAGCTTGGATTTCCTTCACCCACTCATGTACCTTTCCCACCACGTACTCGGTCTTGAAGTCCTTCGTGCCGATTACCGCACCTACAGTACAGTAGGTCTCTTTGGCCCTCCTTTGTTATTTTGACCTCACTTCAGCCGAACATCTCCATTGCCCGTTCATAGTGTTCTGGCTTTACACTAAGGAAGGACTTGCTGGTATTTGGGTGGTACCCTATTTGTGGACCACGTGATGTTATCAGGTCCCACCACTTTTTGATGTTCTCCACTTTTCCTACTCCTGTAAGGTCGTCAGCATAACCCACTTGCTTGACCGCGGTTGTTTCAAATTTTATTGTGTGTTGGAGCACGGACAGGCCTAGTGCGTACTTTGCCATGGCAACAGTGTCCCCTTGCATTGTTCCCTCCATTGACTGTATGATGATATCTCCTCTTAGAGCCTTGAAGCTTGTTATATAGAGATCTGATGGGTTCCCATAGCACTACTACTACTACTCTTTTTTTTAGCTTCCAGCCTCCCCCATAGCCACACCTTCGCCGCCATTTTGTTGCATTAAAATTAAATATCCTACTACAAAACTACCTACCCTAGCTGTGTTGAGTTAGTTGAGCCACAGATCTATGCGACATTCAGTGACTGTTGCCTCATAGTCAATATCTGCGACTGTTCTCGGCTTTGGGCCCGACGATCTAGTTCCCCTGAGGCAAAGCGATGCAGACCTAAGCAGAGAGAAGAACAGTCGACATCTCAACGAGACTGCAACGTGGCTTCTGGGCTGCTGCTTCTGCTCAGACAACATCTCCGCCAGTCTTGTGTAGAAGCATCTTGTACTTGGTCCCATCCAGCCAGAAGTTGTGAACACCAGAGGAATAAAGCTGCCCTGATCTACATTATGAATTCGCTTCCCATACGTCCTAATCATGTTGTTCTCATTCCCCTTGTGTGCAGCCTCAACGGACAAGTTACAGTGACATGCGGCCATGGGGTCGAATATCCTGACATCAAAGAAGGCTCTCTGTCCCTGCGTTCAGAATCCTCGAGCGCTGACCGTCCACACAGACTTCGGTTGATGTGTTGGAAGTCCTGTGATGGAAGTTTTCACCGTCCAGTGGAAAGAGGGTCGGTTCCACCGCAACGTCGTGGCAGATTTCCTTCAGTAAATTTGTTGTGAGATCCTTTACTTCATCATGCCTCATGCATTCGAAGCCCCCTGTCTTACACACCATGGCGTGGTCAATGTCATAGGATGAGCCACACACGCATTGGGACGGCAAACCTTTTACTAACTTACCATACTTTAGAGCAGGGGTGGCGAACCTTTGTGAGAGCGTGCCCAAATTGGCAATAATATTCTGAAAAATTCTCTCGAGTCCCCGTGGGAATTATGAGCAGAATATTATTATTATTATTATTATTATTATTATTATTATTGTTATTATTATTATTATTATTATTATTATTATTATTATTATTATTATTATTATTATTATTATTATTATTATTATTATTATTATTGTTATTATTATTATTATTATTATTATATTATTATTATTATTATTATTATTATTATTATTATTATTATTATTATCATTATTATTATTAGCATTATTATTATTATTATTATTATTATTATTATTACTATTATTATTATTATTAGTATTATTATTATTATTATTATTATTATTATTATTATTATTAATATTATTATTATTATTATTATTATTATTATTATTATTATTATTATTATTATTATTATTATTACTATTTATTATTATTATTATTATTATTATTATTATTACTATTATTATTATTATTATTATTATTATTATTATTATTATTATTATTATTATTATTATTATTATTATTATTATTATTATTATTGTTATTATTATTATTATTATTATATTATTATTATTATTATTATTATTATTATTATTATTATTATTATTATTATTATTATTATTATTATTATCATATTGGTATTTTACAAAACAATTATAGAGAAAGGGAACAAAATGCTTGAAAGCATTCTTAGAGAAGTCTGTTTAGGTAACCAGAAACTCTTCTGAATTCTTTTAAATGGGACAACTTTAGGAATTACATGTTATTTATAACTAGTCATTCACAAAAGGTAAAATTAATGAATTACGTAACAATAACAATGGACCTTCATTTTAGAAGAAATGAGGAGTCCTGTTGCTTATTTACGTGTATTAATTTTTTTACTATTATCAATGTTTTTAAAAAGATAATTGAAAAATAGTACTGTACCTTACAGTATAACCAATATATGAAATGTGACAGTGAAATGATAAGCTTTGGTTCATATTATTGAACAAAACAAAAATCAAGGAAAGGGAAATAAGCATAAGCATATTTTACCCTCAGTGAGACTTTTGCTGCTGCACCAACGATGACATATATTATATATGAGGCTTGTATTTGGTTGTTTTGAGAGATATGCATGCAGCACTACAGTAGTTTCATCAGTAAGTCTACTCCTATAATTAGACTTGACAAAGTTCATCACTGAAAACAATGACTCACATGAATATGTAGATGAAAATACTGTTAATGCTGCCATTGCTAAATTGTTCAGACAGTCAAATGTTTCAGGAATGGAATTCTAGAGTTTCAGAACCTCATTTACTGCAATTTTCGGCGCTGATCCAGTCACTAACCGATCTCTATCAATATTTTATAGTTCAGCTCTTCAGTCGACAAATGTTTTCCTCCAAATTGAGCGTGTTTTGTAAATCAATCAATTGAATCTCAAAATTATCCAATTCAATTCACTGCAACATTTCCAAATTCAGTTTGTTTAATGTTACAACGTCTGCACAGTTTATGAATTGTGCAGTTTCTTCAAATGACCTGAACTTAGTAAATCTTAAAGAAAAGTGTTCAGTAGTTGAATCAATGATGCTCGAACATTGCATTTGAAGGCTCTGAATATCTGTTTTCTTATGAATTTCAAGATCAGTCATGTGATTTTTTAGGTTTGGGAAATATTTAAAAGTGCCATTGTCGACATCACGTTTACAAATTTTCAGTTTGATTTCAAAGGCTTTTATGTTATCAAACATAACATCAAGTGTTTTGCCAGATCCCTATAATTTGGTGTTCAAGTCAAATAAATGTGAGGAGAAATCTGTAAAAAAAACATCAAGCTACAAATCCACACAACGCCAAATAATTCTTGACAAGAAATTTTTGATTCTTCAAAAACAGACGAATTTCATCAAAACACTCAACAAATCGTTTAAGGACAGAACCTCGACTAAGCTAATGAACATTATGGTACATAAGTAGTCCTGTTTACACCGAATTAACCTCGCTCAGTAAATTCTGAAATTGTCTTTTTTTCAAAGCACGCGCAGAAATAAAATTGACTACCTTGGTTAAAATTTTCATCACTTCTTCAAGTTCTTTAAGGCCAGATTTTGCACACAAAGCTTCCTGGTGTACAATACA